ATTCTCCCTCATTGCATCCTTTCTTTCGTTTTTTATTCTTTAGGTAATTCACCACTTCCTAACAATCCCTTTGGTTTTCATCAACACTACCACATCCGACGAGCCTCCGGTGTTGATGAAAACAGTGGTTCGTCTGAGTGGAGGCGAGACGAACCACCATCTGTATCCAGGAGAAAGAAAAGAACTCTCCTATGTTGACGCCCATTCTCATGTCGCTCAAACGACCTCGCAAGAAAGGGACGAGAAATCGATTTATCTAGCTTCGTTTCGCATAGTGTACTTAATGGACCTCCCTCTCACCAACCTCTTCTTTTTCAGCCATCTCCACAGCTTCCTGTGCCTTTCTACAAAATCTTTCCACGATTTTCGCGCTTCTGCTGTTTCTATATTCTAAACTCCTGCATTTGTTCAGCGACCCTTTCGTCATGAAATATGCGTAGTTCCCAATAATTATATGACTGAAAATGTGGACTTTAAGCTGAGATATATTGCTTTGAAGGCAGAGATTAGAAAATCTCATTAATTTCAAAGAACCTAAGAGAAACCATGAGGACGACAGCCTCATTTGTGTGCTATTGGTCCGCATCCCAGAAAGAAATCGTCTTCAGGCTTATCTCAACCTTTGCAACTTCATATATTTGGTTTAAATTGATGGTTTCAGTCCTTTGCGAATTCGCGTGCAACGATCAGTCGTGCTGTGGTGGAGGGGTAAACGCATGTCTGGGTAAGAATATCTTCACGTCGTCGAAATCCTCATCATATGTCGCCAATGGCCAGCACTGGTCTATCCAGGTAAATAACACCACTGTTTGAATCAGTTTGATCAGCAACGGTACAGCTAAAAATCTTCGTATTCTGACAAAGTAGTCGCTCAGGGCGGACGCGTTTTTTCGGGAAGCTATATTGTATATTATAAAGAGGCCTGCATAGAGCGTTAAACCTGTGTTTCATCCGCTGAGTGGCTTCACTGTTGCCAAGAAACAGTGAGAGATATGGTGATAGTTCGATTTCTCGTGGGAACAAAATTTTGCAGAGCGATGCAGCTCCATAAATAAGGGCTACCAACCGACCTGGATATTGAAAACGGATGTCATATTTTTTGGCTCTACTAAGGCCATTCTTCAACAATGAAGCAGGATTCTGTGTGCCATTCACAAGTTCCCAAATTTCCCAAAAAACCGTTTTAAAAACCCTTGGCTATTTCTACCACATAAAAAGCAGCCACACGCTCCTTATTACGTAGTTCTCAGCGACGCCCAGGCTTTACACTCAAACACGACGATTTTTATAGGTGAAGTAATTCTCTTCTGGTTATGGCAATTTTGACGGAGGAGGCTTCTGAGATATTGTATAGAATATTAACGAAATATTCGAAGTTTGTAATCGAGGTCACGTAATTTTGACTGAAGAACATATCTGCAGGGGAATGGTCTAACCACTAGAAGTCCTGAAGAATGTGATCGAGTTAGTAATTTCAAGAAAAAAGAAATGTGTCCAAATCCAGCGATTCTGTGTTATCTCTGCCAACATATTCAAAGCTACGAATTAAATTCTTTCACGGGCTGATTTCCTACACCGTGCTTTTCAGTACGGTACAGGAGCGGCTGTTGGTGTCCTCGGTGAGACACATGAGGTAAAGATTTGGTAGGCATCGGTTCAAATCAGCTCTCCGTTCCCAACACGGTATTTGGACAAGCAACGAGTTTGGCAGCGTTCTTTGCCGATGTGAGTGGAGAACTTGAAGCTTACTAAACCTAATCTGGAAGGATGGCGGTGGCAGCGTCTCCTCATACTAGAGCAATAGAAGCTGTTTCAGACAGCTATCGGATGGCATTTCTCGGCTGTTGGCATTGCAAGACGATGATTGGCTGTAGTGGCGTTAACACAGTCTTCATCAACGCCGTGGATCAGGGACTCGTTGACCAGCCGATTTTTACAGTTTTCTTGGAACATGTTGGAGGTGAACGGTTATCTAGCAATCAATAGTTTACTTCTTATGGGGTTTAAAACACGGTATATTGCGCAGTCCAAATCCCCATGAACGATCTCAAGGGTCGCAGAACTTCTACCGACCCCCGATATATTTGATCGAACAAAACTTGAACCTGAGGTTGCGCTGTTCTTACTCTGACCACGTATCTTTGAAATTCAATGCAAGGCACCCAGCCAGCCATTGCAATCGATCCCTTTGAACAGGACTACCGTCCACGATATATTGGAATTTTTTAGATTATTATATTATTTGGCGGACTAGTCGTTAAATAAATCCTGACACTTGGCAGTGTGCAGGTAAAATGTACGATTAGATGAAAGACGAATCTTCTGAACTAACTTTGAAGGAATATTTCCTTTCTTCCATTCTCCTTCATGTTCTTCCGGATCATTACAAGTTTATGAATGAACTGATAGTGGGCAAATTTCAGCACAGGACAACGTCTACGGAGGGGTGTACACCTACGGTGGCTTAGACACCACAAATTGTGGTCCTGTGCTTGCCTATCAGCCACTCTCATCTGCAACCTATTACCAGTTCAAGGTAAGCGCAAACCCTTTTCTTGAAGCCGCCATATAGCGGTTTTCGTGCAAGGGTTTTTCATAGCTTTCCTCATATTCTGTGCCTTTTTCAGCTCAGCGCCGTTGCGTCGGGCACGTATTCGTCAGCCAAGGGATGGCAGGCGATTTCTGACACTGGCACTTCCCTGTTGGCTGCTCCAACTTCGATAGCTAGCGCCATCGCTGACGCCAATGGAGCAACGGTTATCTTTTTCATTTAACTTTCCATATTTTGGCGTAATATCTCGCTCACGACGTGATATCTCTCGTAAAAAGCAAAGCGAGTTTTTGCACGGGGGGGGGAGCGGGGGAGGAGAGCACATGGGTTGAATTTTTTACTGCACGTGGTATTGGAAGTTGACCCACATATTTGTTCCCCCATCTCCTTCGGACCAGTTCTACTCCCTTCCACTCTTCAAATGATAGCTGGTCAAATTCGGGGCTGGAAAATCTCTATTCCATGCTTACCCTGAAGCTATCAAATAAGATGTGCTCACTTGCTCCAATGAGCACTATTGAAAAAATCCAATCCCTTACAAGCTGCGGTTGAGGTGATCAAGAAATCGTGAGAGAAAGAAATTGTTTACTTTGTAGGTAGTTGCCTTATCAGCACGGAATATTCTCCTCTAACAGTTGAAGCCCGATAAGACAGGGGCGTCACCTGATCAAGTGAATTTACACGTATCTGAAGCACATTATGCAATGACGCAGTGGAAACGTAATATCGGAGAGTAGCAGCCAGATCATAAACCATGCAGTCGGGATGGTGAATTCCGGTTCGTGAGGGTCGCTGGTTATATCATAAGAGCACGGATAGCTTTATTGAAAAGTACAATTTTGCTGTTACTTGCCTTTCTGGCTAGTATATAAAGCCAAAATATCCATCAATAATAGATGGATAATCCCTACTATATATAATGCGCTAAGTCTGTCTGTCTGTCCGTCTGTCACGAAATTCGGTATTAAGCGAACAACAACCTACAGGGTCCAGGTCAAGTTTGGGATGGGTATACCATATCCCTAGAAGTAAAAAACACACATCAGCCAAGCGGAGCCCCGCCCACAGTGGGCGTGGCGTGCATCGGTTGATTTCAAATTCAGTCACAAAACAGCCTCGAGACTGGGGACAAAAGTGGGTATAGGTGTGCATTGGTAAGCCAGATCGAATGGGGAGACCCACCCTCGGTGGGCGGGGCGTTCTCTAAAAAAGCAGTGCTTTATGAAAAATTCATAACTCGGTTGGAGAAAGCCTACAGAGCAGAAAACAATTAGGTGTAGGGGAGCAATGTCTAAGGTATTTCCAGCATACATGACGTGAGCGGAGGCCCGCCCACAATGGGCGGAGCGTGCTCCTGAAGTAGACGACGTTTTCTACAAGAGCTCATAAATCGGCTCCGATGACTTAGAGACCGGAAAACAGTGGATAGAGGTTAGGAGAAGGAGGAGAAGCTAAATGTCAAGGCTGGGCGTGGCTTACACCAAAGTGGGCGGAGTTTGCAACCAGCCTCATAACTCGGTTCCTATGAGTCCCGGGGTGTGGGAAAAAGCGTATAAGTGTTGGCAGAGGGAAGGGGGTCAACTGCTGTTGGCGGGCGGAGCAT